CCACCACAACAGCCAAGACGCCTTCTCTCTTTGGCGGAACGGGCAACACCTTTGCCGGTGCCGCCATTTGCTCGCCCTCGGCCTTTGGAGCCGCCTCTACGGCGACTTCCACTACGACCACCACCACAGCTTCAACAACAACAACAACATCGGCAAATACCTCGGCGACGACCACTTCAGCCTTGGCGGCCATTCTCAGCTCGACACCTGCACCTGCAGTGACCACCACCACCTCTGCTGCTGCTCCAGCTACCACTACCAGCAGCGCCCCCTCTTTGGCCTCCAGTTTCTCCTTTGGGAAGGCGCTGGCGGCCATCAGCGGCGGTGAGGAGGGAGCGAAACCAGCGGCAGCAGCAGGCAATGCCACCTCGCCCTTTGCCTCCTTTTCCTTTCCAACGGCGGCTTCTAGCCCCAGCAACTCCCTTTTTGGCCCACCGAAGCCTGCTGCTGTGGCTGCTGATGCAACCGCCGCCACAGCTACCACTACCACCACCGCCTCCTCAACAGCGACAGCTTCCGCTACGAACATGCTCGCCTCGTTTAGCTTCAACAAGGCCGCCGCTGCGGTTGCAGTGTCCCCAACAGCTTCTTCGCCTTTTGGCGCTGTCGCCGCCTCTCCTCCTCCTCCTCAGCAGCAGCCAGCCTCCTCGCCCAGCTTCAGCTTCAACAACAGCTTGAGCGCAGCCTTGCAGAACAATTCAGCTGGCAGTGCCAGTCTCTTTGGCACTCCCAAGCCTGGCGGAAGCCTCTTTGGCAGTCCAGCAGCACCGGCAGCTGCCGCTTCTCCTGCCTTTGGAGCATCGCCGGCCTTTGGCGGCAGCCCGGTTTTTGGGCAGTCGCCCGTCTTTGGGCAGCCACTGCAACAGCAGCAGGCCACCTTTGGCGGCTCGCCCACATTCGGCGGTGCGGCCACCTTTGGCGCTGGCGCGTCGCCCTTTTCATCACCGAATGCTGCAGCAGCTTCATCACCGTTTGGCGTCGGCGGTAGTCCAGCACCAGCAGCAGCCTCAGCGTAAGTAATCGCCAGTNGCCGAATGCTGCAGCAGCTTCATCACCGTTTGGCGTCGGCGGTAGTCCAGCACCAGCAGCAGCCTCAGCGTAAGTAATCGCCAGTCACG